ACCATGAGGGGTTTTTTGGCACAGAGCATAATTAAAATGTCTCATTTTCCACTTATGTAGCAGCACCGTCTGCTTTGTTTGTATTTTCAACATAACATTCATTTTACTAAAAAAAGCAAATCTTTTAAATGAAAAAAATTAACATATTTTATTTTGAAATTAGACTTGTAAGCTTCACCTCCACCTTAATTTAAAAACATTGCTTTGCTTCCTTTAAAATCTACAGTGGCTTTCATGGATATATTAACATTTTGGCTTCTACATTCAGATGGCAGTAAAATTAAGTATTTGAAAACATACAATGCTATTTTAAAAAAAAGTCACGCTGCTGAGATCCCTTATGGAGAAGGCAGCTAAGGTATTTGTTTTAGAATTATAAAGGGCCTAGGGAAAACTTTTATCTCTCTGGCATTTGGAAGGAGCAAATCCCACACCAAGTAGTAATTGTAGAAAGTCTGCTATGCTAGTAATATGGGGGAAGAGAAATTCATAGAATATTAGAACTGCAAGGGACATCGAGAGGTCATCAAATTCAGTCCCGTCCTCAAGGCAGGACCAAGCATGGTCTATATCATCCCTGACACTGTTATGGGGATTCAACAATCACAATTAGGCAATTTATTCCAGTGGTTAGCCACCCTGACAGGAAGTTTTTCCCTAATGTCCAGCCTAAACCTCTTGCTGCAATTTAAGCCCATTGCTTCTTGTCCTATCAGAGGCCAAGGAGAACATTTTTTCCCTTCCTCCTTAGATGTTTGAGAACTGCAATTATATCCCCTCAGTTTGTCTTTTAAACTAAAGAAGCCCAGTTCTTGCAGTCTTCTCTCATATATCATGTTCTCTAGATCTTTAATAATTGTTTTTGGCTCATCTCTGGACTTTCTCCAAATCTTTCTTGAAATGTGATGCCTAGAACTGGACATGGTACTCCAACTGAAGCCTAAGAAGTGCAGAGTAGAGCAGAAGAATGACTTCACATCTTGCTCACAACTCTCCTGTTAATGCATCCCAGAATTACCTTTGCTTTTTTGCAACATTGTCTCTCTGATTCATTTAGCTTACAGGACACTATGACTTCTAAATCCTTTTCAGCAGTGCTCCTTCCTAGACAATCACTTTCTATTCTGTACAGGCAGTCCCCGGATTACGTACAAAATAGGGACTGTAGGTTTGTTCTTAAGTCGGAACTGGCGTCCAGATTCAGCCGCTGCTGAAACTGACCAGCAGCTGACTACAGGAAGCCCGGGGCACAGCAATTCTGCCTAGACCATGGAGACGCGGGTGGCGGGACCGAGACACGCCGCGGGGCCGCCCC